CAGCATCCCAGAGTTCAGCAGGGTTTTGAAGTTCATGGATAACACGTCTCTGTCTGCCGGACTGGCGCTGGGATCCGGCCTGAAGAGCAAATGAGCGCTGCCATCAAAACCGACCACATCAGACTCTGAAAACACACCAGAAACAAACATTTCATTTCTAGTTAACAAGGCTTGAACTTCATTCAGTAAATACATTGTAATGACATTACAACAAACATACAAACAAGCAAACAAATAATGAATAACATAAAAAATGAACTAAAATAAATACATAAATAATACACTACATTAATTAAACCAAAAATTATATAAATAAATCAAATTAAATGAATAATAATGAAGTAAAATAAATAAGAGACAATAATAATTAAGTAATAAAAAAGCAAAATAAATTAATTGAACTAAATAAATAAATAAATTAAAATAAATAAATAATGGACTACATAAATACATAACATAAATACACTAAATAAGTAAACAATAGTGATAATAATGAACTAAAATTAAAATAAATATCTAATTAACAAATAAATATTTAAATAATGAATTATCAAATAAATTTAAATCATTAAATAATAAACTATTATAAACAAATCCACTAAACGTAAATAAATAATACTGAACTAAAATTAATTAATTAATTACTTAATTAATAATGAACAATAATAGATAATAGTAATGAACTAAAATAGATAAATGAATAAATAAATAAATAAATAACAATTATACACAGATCATAATGAACTAAAATAAATATTTTAATAATGAAATATCATCAATAAATTGGAAATTAAATACTGAACTATATTAAATAAATGCACTATACATAAATAATAATGAACTAAAAAAATAATTAAATAAAATATAAAGTAACAAAATACGTAAGTAAATAATAACGATCTAAAATGAAAACAATAATAATGAACTAAAACAAATAAATACATATTTAGATCATGAACTACAAATAAATAAATAAATAAATAAGGGATTATAATAAATAAATAATGAAGTATGATAAATATATAATGCACAATAGAGAATGTTAAAAAAAAAAATGAATAAATAAAGATTCTGTGTGTGATGTATACTCAGTTTATTGTTCAGCGTCACTGTAAGTCAGTAGTTTAACTTCCTGAAGACGGCAACACTGTGACGCTCTCAAAACATTGATCTGTTTGTTTGCGCACTCTGACATGTCAACAAACCCCTGACGCTAACTATTAAACTCTGTGCATTATAATTAGTGGCGTATACAGCGTGTTTGTGCAGGTCTGTTGTCCCTGTAAGCGGAGCAGAGAGAGTTTTAACCTGAGGTCAACAGAGATGATGCAAACACCTGACACTGGACAGAACCTGCAGATGCCAGCAATAAATTATACATCATCCCTAATGGTCTGCTATATTTATGAACATGGAAACAATCCAAACGCTCTTAATGCACTTGAGGCAAATAAACACTCTATGTATGTTGACCAGAGCTTTTGCCCTGCGGTTCTGCCCCGTGTGACTCCAGAGACAACACATCTCATTCAACAGAGCCACAGGACAAAACTGCCACACAGGACCTCTGAGAGACCAGTCATACATCAGGCCAGAGACTCAAACACACTCGTCTGAGTAACGCGTGTCGCTTGGTGACAGAGCCGGCCTGACCTAATAAGCGATATAAGCGGTTGCATAGGGCCCCATGTCAGAGTTCAGACGGTAATGCTCGATAATAATAACTTTTATAAAAATTTCAGTCGTGTGTGTTAATGTTTGAAAATGAAGAGGCGGCACTATAAAATTGGTGCAGACTACAGAGAAGTGGGAAAAGAGAAAAGAAAGTGAGCAAGATAAGGGTACATGATGGATTTTGAAAATATATTTTCCATCGACCGGTTAAGTTTTACAACACTGCGCTGAGCTTTTGCTGTGTAAAAGTTCGGTCGGATTTTCTCATTTATGTGAATAAAGCAGCAGATGTGCTGAATAAAAATGTTTCACTCTGAAAATAGTTCACTCTGACAGCAGGTGGCGCTTTAGGAACAGCAGAAATACACCGTTACCATGGTTACCACTCTACCCGTTACCATGGTTACCCCTGTACTCAAAGCAGCGCTGCGCAAGCACAACTTCTGACACCTGCTTGTTTGTCCTTTGGAGGTCAAAGGAAGTCAAACAGTATTTACATGTTTTCAAACAGCCATTCAGATTTTTTAATCACTTTGGTGTTTATCAAATAACACAAATATTTAAATATACCATATCTTTATTCAAACATTTGTTTACACTTATACATTTTTGCATTTTAAAGCCCAAAATAGATTATTCTGTATTATTATTGATAATAATAATAATAAATTATTCTCTTTAATTTTCATAATCCAGGTGTTCTTGCTTTATTAAAGCATTAATCTCACAAAACTTTCATACATTTTTCTGAAAGCAATGGTTAAGCTTTTACATTTTTAAAAGTTTTGCATAATTGTTAAAAGAGCTTAATAAGTAAATATATATTCATATTTATGTATTGAAAGATAAACACTGAGTAGATGATTAAGACAGTTTGGACATTTTTTACAACAGGGTTATTATAGTTAACTCAAATAAAAAAATATATTAAAAAATGTTACTTGAAATAAAATAAACGTTAACTGAAATAAAATACTTATACTGTTTTATTTTAGCTAGTTGACAAGGCAACATTTCCCATTTTCATTTAGTTTATCTTGATGTTCTAAAACAACTAACACTAAAACTGAAATAAAACGTAATAACTATACAGAAAATCAACAAAACTAATAAAAACAACAAAAACAAACAATAAAATTATTAAAACTTTAAAATGAAAATGACAGCAGAAAATATAAAAATCATTCAATATATTAACAAAAACTATAATAGCACATGAATGATACTAAAATAACCAACCCAGTCTCATAAAAATACGTACATCTGGGTACTTTTCTGCAACACCGTTTTTACGTACCTTACTGCACGTTTCGCCGCAGTTTCAAAGAGAAATGTCCACTGAGTGGCGCTAAAACACGGGTTCAATACGTCAAACCTGGACCGGAGCTCCAAGTACATCTCCGGGTGCTCCGTGAGCTACCGAACAAACTTATCGTTTATGAAAAACCAGAAAAACCATGCTGGATATGTGCGTGCTAACATTCAAAAGCATCAGTTTTCAAATCTCCCAGCATATTAAAAATGTTTTGACGTCACAACATAATACTCCAAGTAATTGTGCGAAAATTACGCTTTATTAATCGAAC